GGTCCAGGCTGCACATGGGTGAATTAGAATTTGGCTGTAAATAACAGATTACTAGGGGGCTGAGAGTTCAAGCCTTACCTCCAGTACTTTGGTTTCTTCAAAAAACACAAAACTACTTACCCAAAATTCCAACCCCCAGAAGTCTTCAGTTGAGAAACTTTGGTTAATAATAGTTTTTCACAAATTGATCCAATTTTCTTTTGAAAAGTGCATTTCTTCATTTACTAGCTTTCTTAAGGGAAAAGATTCTTTAATGTTGCATCTTGCACCTTTCATAGGTAACCCTTTTCCCCAATTGCTATATTCTCTCCTCACTGAGCTTAGCCACACAAAGACACTTATAAAATATAAGACTTCCAAGGCCTGATCTAGGCATGCAGCAGAATAAGGTAAGAAAGAAGCACTGAGGGGTCAGGATGGACTGTACCACTTTATGGGGTAGTACAGCTGGCTTCAAAAGTTCCCCTATATTATTTATTCCAGATTTAGATACCTTTAATGGCATAATGGCTGGAGCAGTGGCGCAGGCTGTAAAAGCCTACAGTAATCTATCATTGAACAGCCTTAATGGCTGTTCGAGTCCCACCGTGGCTGGGATGAGCTCCCGGTCCGTGTCCTAGCTCCTGCCCACCCAGCGGTTCGAAAGCCCTCGGGCAAGTAGATGAATGAGTAACCACTTCTAGGAGTGGGGGGGCACCTTCCTCCATGAACTGGAATGCAGCAGAAATGGCAACGAAGCAACGGCGATGGATGGCGAATGCCGATCCGGCAAACATGGCGGCAGCTGACGGCGAAAGGCAGCAAGCGCCCTGGATGGTGATTGGCCTGGAGGGCGCAGTGATGGGACAACGCAGGGTGGTCGGAGCCTATGAGGACAGAGACTAGCCACTGCAGTCGTCGCGTGCCGCGCGGACTGTGCCTGAAGGAGTTGCTGCGAAAAGATCAGACCTTCACGGAGATACTGCCGCCTGGAGACCAAAGATCTCTCCACGAAAAAAGGAACAACATAGAAGAGCTCAGCTGCTCAGGTGCCCGGTAGGCACTCACCCTCCCCTGTACTGTGGCCCTAGTCAGATGAAATTAAGAATGCTCTGTAAACCGCTCCGAGCCTTCGGGAAGGAGCGGTATATAAATGTAATATGTAATGTAATAATAGTATATAGTAAATACATTTAAGAAGATACATTTAATTCCAGTAAGTAAATTTAGGCAATAAAATATGCATATTATGTAAGAAGTCTGTATCTAAGTGCGGCTGATTCTGCTAAGAATTTTGCAACCATAATTGTAGTGTCAGTATTAGCATCATTAAGAAAATGTTGAACGGTTTTAAGATTATTAGTAAATAAGCGTGGCCGAAGGGATAAGAGTTTCATACGTGAGGATGTATGCAGCTGGCAGTCCAGAATAATATGGAAGATTAAATCTGGGGCCATGCTGGAACATTTGCAGAGTCTTTCCTGGGGGTGGGGTGGGAGTGTTAAATCGACCCCACCGCATGTTTGAGGGAAAGATGTTCAGCTGAGCCAGCGTGAAGGCTCTACGATGAGAAGGAAGGCTGAGATGAGCTTGTGAATAAATGTGTGGATGTAAAGGACGAAGATGATGTAATTCTAGATCAAGTAGTCTTTGTCTAATAGAAAAATCAAGGTTTCGTCCATTTGGAGAAAATAATCAGTCGAAAAGCCTATTTGATTAATTTTTTTCTTCTATTTTTGAAAACCAGAGGGGACAGTGTGCATTATTTATTCCACTTAAGCAAAAAACTAGCACAGAACATGAAAGTCTAGCCCAGAACCTTTCTCTCTGATGCACTCAGTTTTCATTTACATGGAAATTATTACATGGGTAAGCTCTAAACAGTGACATTTCCACCTGCATCCAAAATGCAGAGATCAATTTACAGACAAGCTAAGTAATAAATTAAGCTCTCCAATTATAGGAAGCCTCTAAACAAAAATACTAAATTTCAATGTTAGAATTGAGGGCCCTCTTAAACATGTCTTAATACAGGTTTGAGTAGACACCCTCCCACACACACTCGACTACATGTCTAGGCCCCAATTTCCTTTTTAATGAAGGTAAAGAAGCCTAGCTCGTTCTACCTCACAGCTAATCCCGACCTGGGAATAGTCTACTTTCTTATTTGTGCTTCTTTCAGTGTCAGTTTATCCTGTCTTGAAACAAATACCTTGAACAAGTTTAAAACTTTTTCTATAGGCCTACTGGCAATGCCACCAGATACATCCCAGCCATCTATTTACATATTTACAGCCTTGCCACACCAGACATTGGTGACTCCCAGCACAATCCTATGCATGTTTGACTCACATGTTTCCCCGAATTCAATTAACATTGTCTAAACCCCCAGAGCCCTAACCTGGATAGCCCAGGCTAGCTCAATCTTGTCACATCTAGGAAGCTCAGCAGGGTTGGCCCTGGTTAGTATTTGGATGGGAGACCAGCAAGTAAGTCCAGGGTTGCAACGCAGAGGCAGGCAATGGCAAACCACTTCTGAACCTCTCTTGACATGAAAACCTCACAGGGTTGCCATAAATCATCTGTGACTTGACAGGGAAAAAAATCTTTGGATCTTTTTCCTCTGGTGTTTCAAAGCTGAATTTCCCATATGGCATTCCTGTTTTACATCTTCTTTTCAGTATTTTACTTATTCCTGTTTTTATTTCATTGCTACCCTTTTCTCCCCTAAGAAAACAAGGTGACCCACTATGAAGGCTCTGTATGGATTTGCCAGTTTCCCAACCAGTACAGACCTGGGGTGGGGGGGCTGTGTGTCAGTATCCATGATACAGCTAGCGCTTAAACTGGTGATGATTTCAGGAATCTTGCCGTGATACACAGACTGGAGGTATACCTCATGCTGTTTCAACTCTATAAACCAGCATCCACCAAAGGAATGGTGACTGAGGGGAACCTCCACATTCAGACGCATTAAATCTCTGAATCCCAGAGCCAGGAGTCTTACATCAGGGGAAGTTCTCGGCCTCTATGACCTGTTGTTGACCCTCCAGAGAAACTGGTTGGCCACTGTGTGAGACAGGATGTTGGACTACATGGACCACTGGTCTGATCCAGCAGGGCTCTTCTTACGTTTTTAAAAGGTATTTTAAAGCAATCCAGTGTTGCAATTCTGAACAGTTATACCCTTCTAAGTCTACAGAAGTCAGTGTGCTTAGACAGGTGTTACTCTGTTTAGGACTGCACTGTAGACCAACCAACCAACCATGTAGTAAGCCCAGTGTTTCTACCTTTTTGCAGTTCATCATATACCACAGTTACTAGGGGGTGATGACAACACTGGTCTAATCCATAGCAGATGGATTCCCTGTGATGTTACAGCTTCTTAAAATGGTATGACTCCTAGTACGGTTGCTGTTCCCAAGCAACTCTAAGTACCTTTTAAGATTTATTTTCACGTGAGAACAACTGGCAGAACTAACTGCACCTTTGACTAGTAAAAATTATGTTTAAAAGCTTGTATTTCCTCAGGGATTCCTTTAGTTAACTGTTCGTTATTTCTGTCCAACATTCTGTTCCTACACATGAAACAATGAATCCCAATGCAAGTCATAAAACAATATTTGCATTTTTGAATAAAACACTGATTCCAGTGCCCCAAAACTATGCACATCAACATGAACATTTAAGCATAAAACTAAATACAATTTCCTTTTATTTAACAAAACCAAACATGAATTATTTTAGCACGTTGCAAATATCCCAGTATTTGGTACTTGTATCTACAGTTTGATTGCTTGATCAAAGCGAGGATCACACAGCGATTTCAATTTACAAATGCAACATTAACTGGACAGGAAAAGATGTAAAAAGAAAGAAGTGCATCTGTTACTGAGGATTCTGCTGTCTGTGCACTGCTGCTCAATTGCATAGATCTACCTTCAGTAGCATTTAATCTGTGGCTGCAGATGGTTATACAAATGATAAAAACTACTTCACTGACATTGTGTGATTATTAAAACTGATTTTGCAGTACACAAATCACCACCACCTCTTACTATTTGCAGAGTTTGTTTTTCCTTCCCTATATTTATTCTCCCAAATTTTAAAAGTTATCTAGCCCATAAAAAAATAAGATACTGCTTTTCTGAGTATTGAGAGGAGAAATAGCTAATACACCAACATAAGCATTCTATTGCATTGACCTCTTTACATTATTTGCATACTAGTTCAAATATAATTTTGGCTGTTTTGTGCCGATGCTGCTTTCCCTTGAGAATCTTCAAGTCTCACCAAATCCAAAAATGCCTCGCTAAGCCCGAAAATAAATATCAGCAGACAGAGTTTTCACTACTTTTCAGAGATGTAGCAACTCCAGTGCTGTTTGTCAGCAAACACGGATTCTCAGATGCATCAACAGTAGATCAGATACTGCTGACCTTAGGTGACACACCCCTTTCTTTGTTTAACTCCCCCTTTGCTGTCAGATTTGCAGAATGGAAGGGAGTGGGATATGTCACCAAGACCCACCACGGAGCTCTGAATGAGAGATTGATTAAAACTCATTCATACCACATCCCCCCCCCACCTCTCCCAGGCTGTGTGAATCATCCCTCATCTAGAACACAAGCTGCAAAAAGCACTCATGATGCTGTTCGGTCTCTTCCGTACTGTTTTATCACAGGGCATGTTCTGTAAGGTGCCGTAAAGTGTTGCATCGGTAAGGCACTTTTGTGAGGCTGTTTTTTGCAGTATTTTCTACGAAGAGTCATACAACGTCAATAAACTAATTGCTGGAGGTTTCCTATTTTATTCCCTCACTCTGCTGCTAGAAAATACATGTAACACCTGAAAATGCAAGATCCAGCCAAAGGCAAGCTCTTTTAAAAGTCCCATGGGTTTTTATTGAAAAAAGTAAACATATTTAAGCCCCCCTCAATAAAATCAATGAGATTTAATGACTTTTGCCCGAACTGTGGCAGGATCTTACCCTTAGCTGTTAACTGAATAAAGGGGCCCGAACTGTGGCAGGATCTTACCCTTAACTGAATAAAGTGAAACTTGCATAAACTGACATTCTAGAGAGCATCCTGCTAACCTACAGTATTTCATTTCAACCTAACAAACTAAGGCAACAGATGGCAGAATTTTTAAACTAATACTTACATTTGTGAGCATCATTATTAGGCAGTTATAAACATTATACAGCATGTTGCAACACATCATTCACTGTGGGTAAATTAACATGTTTGATTATCATGGCAGCAAACTCTTTGCTCCATGTTTTAAGCTCTGAAGCAGCATTTTCAGCTTTAAAGACAAAAAAACATATTGCTATAAATTATATATTCTCTCTCCAGGCCTGAGGCCCCAAATGAAGTTTCTGTGCTCCACTTTGACGATATATACTCCAACCCTGCATTTACAAATACTCTTCAACAATATGCAGTTAACTTTGAAGTAGGTCTATGCCATGATGATTAAAGTGCAAAGTATTTGGCATGCAATCCTAGTGATTATTGGGTCTTGCTTCTGTGGCCACTGAGGAATCAAGACTGGATCTCCCATTGATGGCAACAATATTTAATGGAGGACCAACCTGAAGGAGAAAAAGATCGCCATTAAGGTCACAAAACAAAGGTCCACCATTCCACAAACTATCCTTGATCATGTGAAAATGTTAAATGTTAGATCTGTCCCCAAACATATCTGTATATTTCATGTATTTATATCCCATCTTTCTTCAGAAGAGTGCATGGTTTAAAATCACATATGAAGGTTTGAAGCTGACCTATTGAGTCAGACACTGACACTGACGGGTGGCTTTGTGTTGGGCTTGGATGCCAAGGTGCCATTCTGTCAGCACAATAGAAGCTCCTTTGACAGACCAGGTTTTCCATCAGCAAAAGGAGGAAGATTTTTCCCCTCTCCTACTACAGATTCCCAGTTTGCTCCCCACACTATTTGTGACCACTGATGCAGTCAATAAGTTTTTTGGCAACTACCATACTTCCTTGGTAGCATGAGAATTGTGAAGTGGATCATCACTGAAGAAGAATACACTGACTATGGTATCAGTGGCTACTAACCATTACCTAGACCCAGCTGTCTTCCAAAAATAAGTGAAAAGCACAAAAATAGTAAGACTTTAAAGGGATTTTAAAACCATTTGTTGCTTAAAACCATTCCCCCCATTAACTTTGACAGTTTCATTCTAAATATCCATTATATCTTTCTGTCTTACAACCCATTCTATTTCTATAGTTTTTCAAAAGTCCCAGCAATAATCATCACACATCTCTTACCCATGAGCTACAGTTCAACTAATTCTCAATGACACAAACCAGTGCACTCCCAAGCAAAGTTACATCCTTCTAAACCCACTGACTTTAATGTACTTAGAAAGGGCAAACTCTGCTTAGGAGTAGGGTGTCAAAAAATACCTTACTGGTATTTTTCAGGTATTTTTTAAGCTGGATACCAAATGGGACTCAATTTTGGCTATCCGAAATGGCCAAGCCCTGAAAATCCCGAAAATATTTGGGATTTTCGGTGCCACCAGATAGCTGAACTTAAGAACATAAGAGAAGCCAATGTTGGATCAGGCCAATGGCTCATCCAATCCAACACTCTGTCACACAGTGGCCAAAAATACCAGGTGCCATCAGGAGGTCCAGCAGTGAGGCCCGTCTCTTGGTCCCTTTAAATGCCTTCTCCAAGCTATGCAACTCCATTGCGAGTTCACCCGGAAGGCGTTTAAAAGGCGAGTGAACTTGCCTCTTGGAGAAGGTGTACAACGTCTAAACGATTGGTTCAACCAAATGCATGAAACCATACTAATCAAAGTCTTTGGAAGTTGATTAATGAGAACAGGGGCACTGTTTGGAAGGATTCTTGAGGTTCAGAACATTTATTCCTTGGGAGAAGTTTTATGTGTGGTCATCTGATAGATTTACAAACTAAAAGACTATTGTGGACCTATGTGTTAGTTATGTGCTTTACTTTTGAAACTGAAAGTATGTTAAAGATTTTATCTTTAAACACACATACATATAAGCTTGAATTCACATGTGCCAGTTGCAGCGCATTCTCACACTGGTGGTGTGCATATGTGAAAAACAGAAAATCCCTTCAAATGCACTTTTATCAAGTTTCTGAAATGAACGATGGCCATGTAGGAAGGTTGATTTGGACACACATTTCAACCTTCTTGCCCTTTACAATGCATGTGTGATTTCAACCTGACAGAGAGCTGGAAAACTTGACGGAAATATTCTAGAGAAAAATACTTTCAAACTCCTACCTCATTTGACCCACTTGGTTAGCAATTACTGCGGGGCTTTATTCAGCAGGTATAAAACTGCAGCACAAAAGGCCAGAGTTTGGCTCTGCATCCTAACAAGTTATTAAAGGAAAAAAAATGTTTGGCAGACTATAGCAGCAATTTTTGCCTAGCTTCTTGAATGCCTGGCAGACACAGAGAACACCTGACAGACCTTTTACTGGCTTAGCCCAACTTTTAATCTAAAGCCCAATTTAAATGCGAGTTAAATGTTCTTTCAGCTGCACTTCACACATGTGTGAATCTGGGAATTCCTGGTTTGCTGACACCACAGTTTAATCCTCTCTGTGTAGTGGGTCTTGTTTAAAAAAATTAAAAGCAACGTTTTAAAGCTATTGCCTGACTTCATCTTCACAGCGTGCTTAAAAATAACTTTGATGCCACACTTTTCTCACTGTAGCTTCATTTCCTCATATTCGTTAGATGGTGAATAAGCATAGTTGTTCTCATGAAATGTATTTTAAATACATTAACTGTCTTCTGCGATGGAATAGAACTGAGGGAAACCAGAAACATCTTCTGTATAAAAATAATATGAACCTGGATACACCAACATGGCCTACATTATTTGATAGTATTTGGTACCAAAACAATTTTAATTCAAACTTTCATTATAGTCACGGATACTAGAATTAATCATACAAAAGTTCCCAAGGTCTTATTTTCTAAGGCTGCAGGGGAATATGCAGTCCTTGACACAGGACACAACTTAAGGTAGTTCCTAAACCTTTGTTAAACCGTTTGACAAAAAGATTTCCCCTCATTCTACATGTAGAACATGTAATGAGCACAGAAAAGTATCACTTTCTTGGAGATGCTCAGTGCTGTTTTTCCTTTTACAATAAAAAAACCCCTTTGACTCTCTCATAGCATGCCAGTGCAACTCAACAAAAATACTTCACTCCCCCCCAAGTGGCATTTGATAATGGTTCAGATCTAACTTACAGTGTTCTTCTAAGCAGAATTACACCCTTATCAGTTCAATGAGAGTAACTCTGATTAGGACTGGACTGTTAAGGACATTAACTCAGAACTTGAGAGCCTGAACAGCTTGAGGTTCAAGACTAATTTCCTTTACTGACCAAACTGGTTGGCGCAAAGGCACTAGTAACAGTCTAAGAAGCAAGACATAACTTGGAGGAAGAAACAGGAAGGGAAACATCTAATAGGGCAATGGAAAACAGGAAGGAAAGATGGGAGGAGGCCTGGATAGGCCTGCCAGATCCAGGTTGGGAAATACCTAGAGATTTTGGGGGTGGAGCATGAGGAGGATGGGATTTGGGGAGGAGAGGAACGTCAGTGGGGTATAATCCCATAGAGTTCACCTACCAGAGTGGCCATTTTCTCCAGGTGAACTGATCTCTGTTGCCTAGAGATCTGTTGTAATCCCAGGAGATCTCCAGCTAACATCTGGAGGTTGGCAAACCGATGTGTGGGTGGTTTATCAAAGGTCTTAGCTAAAGAAGGTGGCACTGGGAAAAGGAACTGAATGAGGCTGAGGTCATATGGAATTGAGGGAATTGAGGGAAGGGCCAAGTGGCCCTAATCATTTTAAAGGGTAAGATGAAGGTAGATCAATAGTGGTGGTTTTTTATCTTCTGCAGAAGCCTACAGTCGTCTTGAGTCAGAATTCTATCCCTGGCATAAGTAGGAGGAAAAGGCAGTTGTGTCAATAACAACTTGCAGGCCACCACGTTGCAGAAGGCGCAGAATGAGGAGAACAAGGCCAAGTAGAATTACAGCTGGTGAATTTATGCAGAGTGGGGGGGGGGAGAAAGGAGGAGATAGCTTAATTTTTTAAAAGTACTACTCTCTTTATCATTACTAAGTTATAAGCAGGGGTGCAAGATGGAATTATAGGAGGGGGGAACATTCTCACCCCTCAAAATATCCCCCTCTGGGATTCTAAAAGCTCTCAGGGCCTTGAGAAAGCAGATTACTCTCCCCTTGCCCATCCCTGGCTACCCCCATTTTCTCAGTGGGCTTCTGGAGCAGACTCAAGGCTCATCAGACATTTGGGGAACTAGGAAAATCTTTTTGTTATGTGGCCCTGTTCTGTGATGATGACAGACAACAGCCACTTTTCTACTTAGAATGAGAAGCAGTCATGGAAAATAGGGACAAGATCAACAGTGGGAAATTTGTGGGAGGATTAAAATGTTCACGTCACATAACAATGAGCCTGCATAAAAAGCACTCAACTTTTTAACAGACCAGGATATATCTATTCCATCTCAATATGTTCTTCACTAACGGGCGGGGGGGGGGGGGTTTTTGAAATCCGAGAGGCAGGAAAGCAAGTAATTTTCAGATACTAAAAACAATGGTATCACCAGGTTTTTCCATAGAGTTTTACCATTACTCCATAATAGCTCTTAATTAAGAATTATAAAACTTCAAGCTGGTCAGGTATGCCCTACCCTCCATAAATTTCACGTTAAATTTAAATTCTTTGCACGGCCTTCCATTAGTTAAATCAAGGACAGTACAGCCCCATGAAGTGTTCAGCCCCCTAATCTCCTTAATGGCACAACTGAAAAGTCACATTCGCACAAGATTCTCTCATCACGATTCACACTGGTGGTAACTCCTATGGTGATTCTGAGATACACACTGTAAACCCATTGCCAATGATTTAATGATATGGGGGGAGGAAAAAAAAAACAACCCTCACCCTTCTCAATTTGGCAGCAGCTTCTCCAGAGCGGATTGCAGCCAGCAAGCTCTGGTGGATCTGTTCTGGGTCAGGGCGTTGGAGTGTTACAGCAGCGCCTTTCCCAAAGACAGCAGTTGTTGGGTGGCCAGATAAAGAGCGCACCTGCCGGCTTTGCTCGCGGCTTGCACAACTGGTTTCCTGTTGAAGTAAAAAAAAGCAACAACATTGCTCCCAGCAAAGTTATGTCCTTTGTTAGTGCTACACCCACATTCCAAGCAAACATATAAAGAGCTACAGACAGCCTGAATCTCCTCCTTCCCAAGAAAGAGCACCGCGCCTTAGCAAGGAGAAGCCCAGCCTGGCTGCACACCATTCAGCAGAGCAGCAGAAGACACATGCTCTTTCCGCACTATCCTTTTAATCTATGCTTACCGCGGCATCCTCCAAGCAATTTTACACTAAAATCGAATTCAACCATATTTTTAATGCAGGTCCCCTCCCCCCAATTCTGCACTAAAATCGAGTTCAACTTTCTTTTTATTCTGTGTTCCCCCCCCCCCACACACACTATTCTGCATTACATTACCTCCTTTCAGTGGTCAGCCCAGTTTCAGCCTGCTGTTGCTCTGGGATATTTGGATGCTGTTTTGCCAGGACTTAAATTGCCTTGACGTGAATACTAAGAAAATCCAGAGTGGCAGGCAAACGCAGAAGGGACCACAAAGCACTCCCCCCTCCCTGCCAGAAACAACACTCAGTTCAACTGCCAGTTCCCCTGAGACTGGAGAAGAGAGGTGGAAGGACACCCTCTCCTGTGTCACCAGTCAGAATAAGGACCACCCGATGTTATCTTTAATGAGATCTACTTCTTAGCAATGAAAAATATCCTAAGCTACTCTCCCCCGTCCCCCGGGCCTGTTACCAAGTTTTGTTCTGTCCTAGAAACAGAACATGGACTAGGAAGAGCACCAGAAATAAAGGCATCACCTCAGCAGCACAAAGACAAAGCTTAAGAAATAAAAGCCTTAAAAATAAACGCCTAGAGCAGGCCTTTTAGTGATCTTTTCTCTGGTCTTCTCAAGAATGTGTGTGGTGAGGCACTCTGCAGCAGCCAGCCAGCCAGCCAGCTACCAGGAGTTCATGAGCTACCTCTGTTGGGGACACACACACACACCCCCCCCCCCGGCTCTAGGAT